CTTCTACAACTAGGCATATCAAGTTCAGCCAACATGGGGCCAAGTTCTGCGGCCTGTATGTCATCAGGGTATGGGGGCTTAGGGGGTTTAATGACCCCAGTACATCAACCACCACCTGATGGCGGTGTTGCGAGCACTCTTGCAACACCCACTCATACACCTCCACCTGTTGGCGGTGTTGCACTCTTGCAACTAGCATGCCCAACACATATCCGCACATCCTGGCACCATGCTCACCGCCAGCGTTAGCTCAAGTCGCAGCACCCCGATATGAGGAAGAGTTGCGTCAAGAGATGCATTAATTCAGTCATAATTGGCAGAACGCCAAGGGCGAACACAACAGGTACCGGTAAGCAGCCCAGTCCAAACTCCAGACCAGAATATCCATGTTGGGGTTCGACCCAAAGTGCCAGCACTGGCAACAGCATCTCTGAGTCAAGGCGACCGAACAAGACAGCAAGAACATTTAATTTCTGTCATTGACAAATATCAGGCCACACATGATGTTCAAACAATTCCCCAGCCAAGAAGGGTCGCAAACCAACCAGGAAGAATTATACACCCTGGGCAATTTCTCAGTGACTGAGAGTATGGGGCAGGGGATGTCAGACGACACACAGAGATTGTTACAGAGCCTGGTCGCCCAAGTACCAGAGAACCGGAGATCTGCATAGAGCCAGTGCTTGATGATGAAGAATACAGGTTTCCTAACCGAGGAAGGGCCAGACAGCATCAACCAAGGCAGGGCTATGCAGGACCGACACAGCCCCTCAATCAAGGTACCTAGGGCCCTGATCTTTGATGGAAAGAGTCGTTGGTCGGCTTTTTATTTAAAGTTTAGGACTTATGCCAAATGGGAGAACTGGAATTCTGAAGAGCTACGGGACCAGTTATGCTTCTGCATGAAGGACGAAGCGAGCAAATACTTCGCTTCGTGCATTGAGCGAGATCCCGATATCCAATTTGAGGATCTCGTTAAGAAGTTTCAACGGTGGTATGATCGCCAAGAACGTCCAGACGCAGCGCAGGTAAAATTCAACACCATGCGCCAAGAACCAGATGAGTCCCTCGAGAATTGGTCAGAACGGCTCATGTCAACAGCAACAATTGCATTTGACAGATTGCCAGAAGACTATGTTGAGCGACAAGTCATCATGAGGTTCTGTCTTGGATGTGAGCAGAAGGAGGCAGGTCAGTATGCAGCCAATCTACATCCCTTTTCTCTAGAGAAAGCAATGGATGCTGTGCGCACATTCCAGCACACCCATCAGGCCATCTATGGTAAACAGAGGCAGATAAGATACCTGGCATCTGATCAAGAAGATCAAATCAGGGCTGTGTCAAGGTCACCAGTTAGCAACTCCAGAACCCCAACCCTGGAAAAGAAAATGGACCAGCTGGAGGCAAGGTTCGACAAGATTGAAACCATGCTATTCAAAGTAATGGGAAGGTTTAGTAATAGGCGTTCCCGTTCCTCTAGTCCTGCAACATAACCTGCTCGGAGCAATGAATGTTATTAGTGTGGCCAAGTGGGACACTTTAAGATAAATTGTCCTCAGAGAAGCCCGATTAAAGATAAAAGGGTAACATTTCAAGAGGAATGGAGTTCCGGGGAAAAGGAGTTAAACTCCAACGGGGTGGGTCGAAAGGCCTAAGTCCTACCCCGCACTGGAGTGAAGGCCAGCTGGAAACTGCAATCAGGGCGCCACAGCTAGGTCTCTCAAATTCCTTTAAAGGTGCCCACGAGGAAGTCACTGCTCACAGCAATGGTCCTAGCAGACCACAAACTGCTGTGAGTAGTGACATCTTCAAATGTCCATGTCCTGAAGTTACCATCAATGCAGTGCATCATGGAACAGTTTTTACCATCCCGCTATTGGTCCAGGGCACAAAGGCAGAGGCAATAATTGATACTGCAGCAGAGGTGACAATCATCTCTGACAAGTTATTCAAGAAGCTTCAACATTAACCAGCGAAGAACCATGATGTCACCTTAGGCACGGCTGGACGAGAATTGAAGATGCAGGGTTTCCTCACCAAACCAGTCACATTGCAGGTTCAAGATAAGCTTTTCCAAATGCCTGCATATGTGGCTCCAATAGGAGATGAGATAATCCTGGGCTTTGACTTCTTGCTGAAAAATAGTGCAGAAATTGACATGAAAAATCATATCCTAACTATAAATGGAACAACAGTGGGCATGGTTTTAAGGGATTCAGGTAAACCAGTTAATGCATGTCGCATCATGATACCCTGGCATATGTTACTACCACCCCATTCGGTAACCAGGACACCTTGTTACATGGAGCAAAGTTTACAAACCTACATCTCCGAACCAACTCCAGAATGGCCGACATTATATCACCACGAATTCTTCATTCACCGGGAAATAAGCCAGTCATTTGCTTCCTTAACACTACAGACCACCACATTACGGTAAAGAAGGGTCAAATTGTTGGGGAAGCATCAGAGGTGGATATCAGGGAAGTCGCTCTGGATGAAGGAGATGACAGGAACAAACAAGACATCAATCTAGGGACAGAACAGCCTGGTGAAATAGATCATGGCACACATGTAAACTTACCAGAACATCTCAAGGACCTCTATTTACTTCGTGCAAGCATTTGCCACAGGATGATCTTTCACGATTAACAATGCTTTTATGGAGTGGGTCACATAAGTGAGCCACTGTTTTCCCATCCTTTTTTTGTACTTTTTACACAATAAAATATGTTTAAACTTCTGTTTCAGGAATTCATTTTTACCCATTTTACCCAAGTTTTGTCTAAATGGCGATCATAATAAAATAACACCGCTTATGAAGAGTGCGACTGAGGACATAACTAGTGGGGAGTGGGGTCACACACGGGTATATTCTTTCTTGTAACATTACAACAGCTCTCATCTATGTCAACCGTTATCCATCTGGGACATCATAAGTTTGATTGATAACTCGAAAAGTATGGTGCAGTAGTAAGCTCAATATTTTATTTACATCTCTGACGCTGTTGATACTTCAACACCCGCCATCACATTTTAGTGTAGCACATACATAAATACACTACACAATGGTGTATACCTGCCATGTCCACCACTTAGACGGTCTATTTGCAGAGGTTCCCTGTATGCTCTCTCCGTCTTTCCAACCTCTCCTTTATGTAACAATATGTTATAAGTTGTAGCATTATCACGAGGAGTATTTGGGGTTTTATGTGTCAAGGTTGAGATTTTATGACACGAGTCGGAGCCCGCATAAAACCACTTATATCCAGAGCTATACAACGACAACGAATTGATCTTGCCCACATGTTTCAATCTGCCGTTGTAAAATAATTAAAACAAATTGAAAAATTGATAGAAAATATCTCTTGAGCTGAGGTTAACTTGTGTCATTGACTCGTAAGAAACGTGCAGCGTTTTGCTTCGTAGCGGGGTATGAGTGTTTTATTCTCTCGCTCAGAAATCCACGTGCAGCCTGTTTTCATAGTGGCGGGGTATTAATGATTTATTCTCCCGCGCAGAAATCCACATGCAGCCTGTTGTCTTCGTGGCTGGGTATAAGCGATGTATTCCCCCGCTCAGAAATGTATTTCCCTGCCAATTTTGTATAAAGATAACGTGAACTAGTCAGATCTGAACATTCTGAAATGGTGGTAAGATAAGCGCGGTTGATCCATAAAAGTAACTGGTACAGATACATGAGCCTTCGTTTTTCTGGACAGATCTGATATGATGTCTTTTTCATGATAATATTAAATTGATACTTTCACTTAATTATCGTACGAGGAGACCCAATACATCTGACTCGGTGACCGGGTTGCTTTTGTTTCATCGTAACCTGATGGCGTGGATCGTTGCTCATAATATCAATCACTGGTTTGTCTGGTCCATATACTCAATTATTTATAATTACTATTTCGTACAGATGGAATATTGCTCAGTGTTTCATAAAATTACCCACAAACAAAAATACATGGACGTAATTACAAGTATTTGAAACTGTTTAATGCTTCCAAATAAAACAACAACAAACAAACAAACCATTCTAACTGTAACATAAATGAAAGCGGCAAAACTATTTCCATAATTATAAGAAGTTCATTGTACGGTTCCAACGATATCATAAGCATGCGTTTATGAAACACTTTCAAGTAGTGATGAGTCCAGGTGTGAGCGGAAACTGCCCCTATTAATGGCATCCATCACAAACACATGCAAAGGCAAGTTAAATGTTCACCTGAACAAACACGGGAACATAACAAGTTGAATTGGACATCAATCTGGTCACTGGTGGATCAAATTTGGAAACGTCCATAAAACATCATGTTTTCTGAGACCTAAATCCTCTGAGTAAACAAGTGAAGGCATCTTCAAAGAGACGTAATGTATTAATAAATCCGGGGCGGAAAAAGGCAGATTTGGGGTCGGACCGATCATTTAGATTGCACAGCGTGTCAAACACGTGTGAGGGTGGGGGTGCGGGTGGGGGCAATTTGGCCTTTCGTCTTTTACTTAATCCTCACATATACGCTGTTACCGTTTTCAAATTTCATTTTGGTCAAGCATTTGCGATTAAGTAGGTCCTAATGTATTAAAATCTACAAAGTTGCTATGTAGACTTTACTTTCCCGTTAGGAAATATATACTTAAAGCAGAGTTCCTTGTACAATTCCAACTATTCATCAGCACGCGTTTATAAATCACTATACAATCCGTCACAAGCACATGCACAGGCAAGTAAAATGTTCATCTGAACAAACACATTTCAAGTTGGAATACGGCATCGCGTAAGACATCATTTTATCCTATGACGTCCTTCTAAATCTGCGGGGGCACGGGTGACCCAATCGTCTAAGGCGCCGCGATTTGCTGTGCAGAGTTGCGTTCCTTAAGCACGCCAGAAACCTATGATTGTGGGTTCGAATGCCGGTTCGCCCCGATTATGGTTCTAGGTTTGTCAGCACCATACTCGTGCTCGTGGGTTTCACCGAAGTGGTAAACGTCTGAGACCTGCATCACTTCGGGCTTTCCTCCCACAGTAAGCTGACACGCCGTGATATAACTGGAATGCTGTTAAAAGCGGCATTAAACCCAACTCACTCACTCACTCTAAATATGCGTAGAAAGAAGTCATAACATGTATAACTAGTGTTGAGTTCACAACCTCAAGTCAAACGTGTGAACAGCGTCTAGCGTGACATATTTTACTGTTCTAATGAACACAAATCAAATGGCGAGAAGTGGATGGTATCACTGACACATTCTCCGTTTCTCACCAAATATCAACAAGTGTCGACAAAATCACAATTTTACCATTTTTGAAATCGACTTCAAGTGTAACTGAATTGCCATGATGTTTGATGAATTAATTAGGGTACTAATTTGCCAGTGAATGGCACAATTACAATCATAAAGTTAACTTCTGGATTCATATTTGTGGCTTAACCTCGACACTCCAACCCAAGAGCTTCTGTTTTTTTCTTTTCATCGAACATCACCTTCTCCAGTACTTCGCAAATGCATTTGTTCTGACGAGACGTAGGATGTCTTGCAACAACAGATTCATTAAAGGTGGAAGAAAAGAGGCTTTCGTAATTGCTTTCAATAAATGAGAAGAATTTGCGTCTTCCAATGGTACGAGCTGTTTCCTGAAAAAAGGAAAACTATGAGAAAAGGTAGGTTAATGAAATATAGTTTTTCAGACTGCCTTAACATGAGGCTTTTTTATAGCTAAACGGCCTCTTGGTGTTTGATTTTTAGGTTTAATCAAAAGATGATAATATCATGGACCCTTTACCGTGCCAGACATGCATTTCAACATGAACAGTGAAGTTGTCTAAAATTTAAAAGAGGGACTATGCTCCATTTACGATCTATGTCTAGACAGTGTAGTCATACCCCTGTGAGATAGGAAGACACTGTGACTGTGTAATACTCAGTAACCGAGGAGCACGGGTGGCCCAGTCGTCTAAGGCGCCACAATTCGCTGTGCAGAGATGCGTCCCTTTGGCACGCCAGAAACCTATGACGGTGGGTTCGAATCCCAGTTCGCCCCGATTATGTTTCTAGGTTTGTCAGCACCATTCACGTGCTCGTGGGTTTCACCGAAGCGGTAAACGTGTAAGACCTGCATCACTTCGGGATTTCCTCCCACATTAAGCTGACACGCGGCGATATAACTGGAATACTGTTAAAAGCGGCGTTAAACACAACTCACTCACTCAGTAACCGCTAGAATTATATACATTTATAAAATAATACTACAAATTTAAACAAATTAAAGTCGGTTTTGAGTGACTTGAATCAAACTTCCGTGGACTGCCAATTAGCTATTTAATACGGACTAGGGTGACGGCTACTTGATTAAGCATGTCAGTAATAATAATAATAATAATAATAATAATGCGTCCATTTGTATGGCGCCAAACTCCATACCAGCTCGTGTGCTTATGGCGCTTACATTATTACCCCAGTCAATAGATCAGTGAGCATTCGATTTTCATTCTCAGCTCCCTTGGGAGTATACAAGCCAAGCTGCCTGTGATTGAAAACGCAGTGATTCAAACTAGTGTGAACGAGTTAAACTAAGTTGTCGCAAGCGCTATGCATTGTTATTATATTTTAACTATTGCTTATAGAAATGTGATACATTAAATAACGCAAGAAATATCAGGACCTATCTTCCTAAATTTCAACTAGTTCGCCAAACATCTTCAATGACGCAATACTGCTTCACGAAACATCATGAAGTAAATTGATGAATTTGAACCCAAATTGGACTCCTCAGAGTCGGAATTTCTTGTGTGTTTTTTTGTTTGTTTGTTTGTTGTTTAACGCCGCATGAGGCAATATTCCAGCGATCCGTAAATAATCGAGTCTTGATCACTTTCCAGTGATTGATATCATGATCATCGATCCAAGCAATTGGAATACGATGATAGCATCAACCAAGTCAGCGAGTCTGGACACCCGATCCCGTTAGTCGCCTCTTCTGGCAAGCATGGGTTGCTGAAGACCTATAGTAACCCGAATCTTCACGGGGGCGGAAAGTGTGACATAACTATATGCTTATCATACCTCTTTGTTCACGTCTTGGCAGGTTTCATCTCCGTCTACTAGAGTTTCATGCATCTTGTCACAGATGTACTTCTGTATAAATGTAAGAAGAATAAGGGAAAATAAATACTGAGAAAACAATGTCTGCATTACATGCAAAACAAACGGTACCAGCCCTTTCCTGAATGTCAAAAAAAACCTATCCCCCAGGACTAAAAAAAACCGTATAAATGTTAAAACACGGATTTCACAAACACAAGTCATATAACAGCTGTTTTCTGACTCCGACCAGTCCTTGTTTACCCCAGTAATGCTGAGCGTTAGACAGGGTAACAACAAGTACCATATATATGTGTAATAAAGTGTAATAATCTTGCACTCCATCTCAGCTCACCTCATCCCACCTCACCCCACCCCACCTCACCTCACCAAACCTAACAGTCTTGTAGTAAAGCGTTTAATTGTTTCACACGTCGCTGCTAAATGGGGTCATAGGTTACAATTCGTCGCGATATGACTGAAATATTACTGATGTGACGTTAAACTATAACTCAGTCACAACCAATACTTAATGCCGGAATAACAAACTGAAAGTATATACTTACCAGACAAGGTTTGATGTTGTAGTACATTATGTGTATCTGGATTCGGAGTTAAGATCACTGTTTCTTTTTTATCTAGGGACATAATTAACATAAATTAACTAATTCTAATTAGTAAGCAGTACTTTGAAATGTAAATATTATTTGGTATATGGATCTCATATATACTCATTATCTGAAATAATTATTTTATGATCTTGCTACTGGCCAATACCACATCGATTTTAGTTGGCTACCAAGCCATGTTGGAATCATTGGTGATGTCCAAGATCATATATGTTCTGCCCTCGGATCGTAGCTCAGGGTGATGACGGAAGACAAAACTCAGGGTTGAAGACAGCAGCCATGTTTATTGATGCAGGTTGAAATAGGTAGAAATGGTTATCACGTGACAGAACGCACACCGGGACCGAGTGGCCAATGTTCCCAGGTGCGGAGACCCGCTCTGTCACTTACACATAGGCAGGAAGTCGGACGGCGATTCTTCGGCGTCGACGTAGTTGTTGGTGAGGCGACGACCGTAGCCGACGCCACGACTAGCCTACAATCCGTCCGCTTCTGTCAATGATCTATGTTTTGTACATAGAAGTGTTACGTAACGTGGTAGGAGGTCATCTGACCACGTACATACGTAATATCCGGCGACGTAAAGTGTTAATCACCGGAGATTAAGGATCCTGCCCAGAAGGGTATTGTGGTTAGAGGGGATACGCCGAATGTTTGCTGTATACATTAAACAAACAAGAGAAGACAGAATTTCGGTATACTTTGGAAACATATTAAAACAATTAGGTAATTTCGATAACTGAAGTTTTTAGAGAAACGTATTGGAATGGTTTGCACTTTAAGAATAACACAAAGACAGATGCTGCTGCAAAGGCAGCACTCAACACTTCTGTGACACCACTTCTGATCCCATACAGTGATATAAACCCTGTATGCATTTGTTACATCAGAGATCTTATGCAAAAGAAGTTGGACACCCGAGTAGGTATAAATAATTACATCAAATTAAACCAACTACCGGTTCCACCTACGTGGGTTGTCAGTCCAAATTTGAAGAGGTCGTTTTATGAATGTCTCAAATGCACATGCAGAGAATTTGCTGAGTAAATGGCCCAAATGGCATTAACATAGTTGTGGCCATAGCATCAGAGCGCCTTTACGTGTCAGCAACTTTAAGAGACGTCATAGATGGGGTAACCAATGTAAAGTTTGAGGGTTCATTGGTTTATGGTGTCAGAGAAGTTTATGACGACGGACAATGCGCCATATATACTGAGCTGTTCATCTATAAATCCATAGATCATTTCTTTTATTATTATTTCAATTATTTTTTTTAAATTCCATTTTCCATCATATTTTACATTTCAATATCATACACGCCTTTTTATTTCCTAAGTTCCACCAAGCCACCAAGACACCAGGACACCAAAATACAAAAGACAAGTTAAAGTCCGTCATTATGTTTATGCATTCACTACATAGAGATTATCATACGAGCATGTGTGTCATACCGATGACACGAAAAGAGTGTCATAATTCAAGCATTACACTCGCTCTCTCATGACGCAAACAATATTCACCTATGACGTCGTTTCTAGTGTGACGTCATTCCGACCTTACGAAACAATAAGATTTGAATTAACTCAACAATGCCGTCCGGATGACGTTAACAATACACTGTTGCGCATGAAGTTATATTTGCACCAGTACACATACGATTGTTAGGAGCTCGTTTATTTCTAACCCTATGAGTAATAAATAGAGAATACCGCACTCATTCTCGTTAGATACCATTTTTACGAAATGAGGGGATTTTCTATGGTATCTGACAGAGCGAAAACCACGTAAAATATGTATTTAAGTGTAAATACAAAACAACATTCGTTCGTTAACACACCAAACTGAAACCAGTTGAAAAATCTGGTTGTGCGTGAATATTAAAATATATGCCCAAATATGGGCATTGTTGACATTTCTCTACATACGCATTAACAACATTTATTATATACTTAAGTGTGAAAGACTGAGTTTTCCGAAGTTGAGATATTTTCATTGCAGTGATCATAACAATTGATATTTCACTGCAGTGAACATAACACTTGATATTTCACTGCTGGGAACATAACAATTGATATTTCACTGCAGTGAACATAAAACTTGATATTTCATTGCTGGGAACACAACACCTGATATTTCACTGCTGGGAACATAACACTTGATATTTCATTGCTGGGAACACAACACCTGATATTTCACTGCAGTGAACATAACACTTGATATTTCATTGCTGGGAACACAACACCTGATATTTCACTGCTGGGAACATAACACTTGATATTTCACTGCAGTGAACATAACACTTGATATTTCACTGCTGGGAACATAACACTTGATATTTCACTGCTGGGAACATAACACTTGATATTTCACTGCAGTGAACATAACACTTGATATTTCACTGCAGTGATCATAACACTTGATATTTCACTGCAGTGAACATAACACTTGATATTTCACTGCAGTGAACATAACACTTGATATTTCACTGCTGGGAACATAACACTTGATATTTCACTGCAGTGAACATAACACTTGATATTTCACTGCTGGGAACATAACACTTGATATTTCACTGCTGGGAACATAACACTTGATATTTCACTGCAGTGAACATAACACTTGATATTTCACTGCAGTGATCATAACACTTGATATTTCACTGCAGTGAACATAACACTTGATATTTCACTGCAGTGAACATAACACTTGATATTTCACTGCTGGGAACATAACACTTGATATTTCACTGCAGTGAACATAACACTTGATATTTCACTGCTGGGAACATAACACTTGATATTTCACTGCAGTGAACATAACACTTGATATTTCACTGCAGTGAACATAACACTTGATATTTCACTGCAGTGAACATAACACTGGATATTTCACTGCAGTGAACATAACACTTGATATTTCACTGCAGTGAACATAACACTTGATATTTCACTGCTGGGAACATAACACTTGATATTTCACTGCAGTGAACATAACACTTGATATTTCACTGCAGTGAACATAACACTTGATATTTCACTGCAGTGATCATAACACTTGATATTTCACTGCAGTGAACATAACACTTGATATTTCACTGTTGGGAACATAACACTTGATATTTCTCTGCTGGGAACATAACACTTGATATTTCACTGCAGTGAACATAACACTTGATATTTCACTGCAGTGAACATAACACTTGATATTTCACTGCAGTGAACATAACACTTGATATTTCACTGCAGTGAACATAACACTTGATATTTCACTGTTGTGAACATAACACTTTGACGGAACTATTCTCATATAAAAAGAGACCTCCCCTCAAACTGTCTCCCTGTATGGTGTCTGGCCCGTTCACAAACTGTTGACGTCCTGTTAACGTTAGTTCCACACTGGCAAGGCAAAATAAGGACAGATGGTCATTTATGGAGTAAACATCTCCTCATGGCGTTTGTTGTTCTCTTGAAAATGTTCCGTTATAAACTGTAAATTTCTCACTTAACTCGTCAATCGGGACCGTTCGTTTCGCAAAGCGCCATTTTTGTTACTTGACCAGCGTGTATTCTTTCGCTTCCAAACAGCGGTGTCGAAGTTTTCAAGAATAATTTTTGTTCAAGTTGATTTTGTATATAATCATATCTATATGTATGATACAGAATTTTCGCGACCCTAAATATTTTTGTTACTTTTGTTTATATTTTTCATGATTTTGCAAACACTAAACGTTTTTAGTCGCAAATACAAGAGCTGGTGACCCGTCCCTGTGTGTTAGGTAGGGAGAATAGGATATCCCATGTGTAGCCACGAGTGAAAATACCTCCTTTTCCCCGTCACTGATGAGGGAAACATGATATTTCCCTCGACACATGAAATATCCTCTATGTTCTTACTTACTGTTATGTTTTTTAAGTTTTTAAGCTGTTATGTTTAAAAACATAACAGAACCGACGCCCAAGACCCTTTCAAATAATTTATTTAACTTATGGTAATTCAAACGCAGTGTTGTTAGTACGCCGGAAACCTTTAAGAAAACTTAAAAAGTCAATTAGCGCCGCGCTTTGAATATCGGACCAACAGTCGGTCACGCGCACCGCCGGGATCCACGATGTTCAATCACAGTGGTTCGATTGCCTTGATCTATCAGCTGAATTTATATCCTGAACGTGCCATTTTTGAAGAGGAAAAAGACGACCATGTTAACTGTACGACCCTATAACGAAGACGTTAAAATCAAATCTGCTTGCATGTCAGTGATAGCTTCGAAAGAAGGGCAAGGTCACCATCGGAATAAGAAAAGACAACAGTGATCTACTCACAGCGTTTTACGCTAGAGATCTTAGAGGGAATATTATTGTTCGCATTTTGGATGTTTTGGGCCACGAAATAAGTCAGACACACTTCTACGGAGTTTTCGAATGATATGTGTCGGAACTGTTCACTGTGAGTTGTGCAGTCGTGTACGTTCATTCACGAACAAACACCTCCCGAAACGGTGCCACAAACTACGCTTGGCATGGGGAGACTGATGGTACAACGGGAGCATCCACGTAAGTCTAGATATCTGTCCACATAGTTTAAACTGACTTCATTTCACCACGCTTAACCTTTCAAGTTAAATCAAACTGAAAGTTGCGAAAGCGGTCGGGTGCGTCACACTCATCTATCGATCGGTAGGCCTAGTCTTACATTGCAAATTGATATAGCTCGATTATAATGTATATAGTAGCTCTATACATAGCTAAATGTAGAATGCTAAGCGAATTTGATGCATGTGACTATCTTGTTTTATTTTATACAGTATTTAATTTGTAAATGTCTCTCGCTTTCATGAGATTCCTTCATTTCTGCCCCGTAGTTGTAACTGTTTTGTAAAAGTGAATAACTCCTCGTCTTTTTTTAATGAATTCAAAAGTAGTTCCAGTTTGACAGAGGTCACGGGTATCCAATCAGAACGAATAAAACGAGCTCAACCTTGTTTATTTATGTACGACATACGTGTGACGTACGGATTTAGTATCTTCACCACGTGGGTAATAAAGCTCATTATGCTCGCCATGTTACATATAACTGGGTAATTCAACTAACTGCAACCAACACTAGTACCCAATAAATCATATGATAAGGAGAATCTGTTTACAAAGGATACAGAGGGTTTAGTGAAGTCGACATGTATGAAGATGTTCGTTTCCAAGACATGTCGAAGGCTGTAGTTGCGTACCCACTTCTGTACTCGTCTTTCAGCCTGTAACCAGGCATATGAACTTGTGAGTATTTAAACATATTCCATTTGGTATAAGAATCAAAATAGCTGCGAAGATTATGTGAATGGATCAGTTGTTTGATTAAGGTTATAACATCCAAGGCCTCAGTTAAGCTTTCAGAAAGTTATATTGTAGCCATGGGGAGGACATTTCCAAATTTGAAGCTTTAAAATTATGTCCGAAGCAATTCCCTATTTTCACTTGTACTGTATGTTCCCGTGTTTTTTAGGTGAACAATTGACTTGCATTTGCATGTGTTTGTGACGGGTGCCACCGGTGGGGTATCGTCACTATTTGATAGTGATTCATTAACACACGCTCATGATATAGTCGGAACTGTACAATCGACTGTTTTGGCATAGACTTCTTATGAATATAGAAAAAGATTTGTCGCTGGTATTTACAGCACCTCTTCCATTCATTATGCTGATACATCAGAAAAAATATTAAGCAATTGCACAACATCCTTGACTAAAAACGACTTGTCCTTGTTACAATGCACACTCACCATTTTCATCATGATGCAACTTGCGATTATTTGCGCAGTTAGCAGCCCTGGGACAATTCCAAACCACATAAATGTGGCATCATACAGACGGCTCCGTGTCGAATGTATTAAACCCACAATGAATGCTACCACAAGAAACCACAAGACGAAACTGATGCAGTACCAACTGCAGCAGCGGCCGCAGGAATTGAAGAGGGAAAAGTATTTCATCCGAAATGAGTTGTTGATCACATAACTTGCTTCATAATAAGTTTTTTCAGCAAACTGAAATAGAAGGTTTATGTATCACTCTTCAGACAGAAACGCCATAGGTGACCTTTTCTGTAATTTGGAATGTGCTTTGACATTTGTCTTTCGCTAAGAAAGTTGTTGCAGTGGTTTCCGGGTGATTGTCATATCAGTCTGGTATGTGTCGGGATTAATCGAAATACATACATCATGTACAATATATTACATGAGTGAACCTCGAAGTGATGAAGATTTAACGATGACTGATGCACGCAGAATGATCGTGTAAATCCAAATAGCAGTCATGGAATCATAAGTTAATGCTCCATTGATAGTAAAGTTCCCGATCATATCCTAAGTTTCTGCCCGAGGGAACTGCATTGTAATAATGAAGAACAGACGTAAAAAAATGTCAGATATATATTGTGATTCACTGTTGACAAAAAAAATAATTGGCCAAAGCCAGAGAATATCCAGTCTCGATTATTCAACGAAACAGATTACAGTAGGAGTAAAAGACACAAAAAATGTGGTGAAAAGTATATGAATGGTTCACTGAAATTCAATGACAACAGGTGTTGGCGAATGATTGCCTAGTTCAGTGCGTGTCATGAAAACCAGTTCGTGCTATTGCTTAAGGCCACACTCAGCCCTCGGATAGGTTACAATACATAGATACATAACCGGCTGTAATGACTGCATCATTACCTTGCTTCCAAGCTGGCGTAGCTGGTAACGCTGGTGCTGGTCAAGACTTGAAAACCACCATGCTGGCCCTCTCCAGGATTTCACACGTTTTCCTCCAAATATCTGAACACTTTGTCCATTCAGTGGTCCTCAAAACAGATATTTTTTCAAATAAAATATTATAAAGCTAATGAATTATCTTTCACAAATGCTAAACCTGAGCAGATAGAAGTTCGATCATATCTTAAAATTTAATTTAATTGACTTTTAATTTAAAATTTAAAACTGAAGGTGCACCGAGGTACTTTAGTTTAGAGTCTTGAATTGTCAACTGAAATATGACCAGGTGAGGAAAGTTGTTGGCATCAATACTGTTAAAACAGGTATGCATTGAAAATTCAGACACACAATATTATCGTTTGAGTATTTGACGCGACACTCTGAAACGTACTGAAACTACGAAGGATGTATAATACAACCCCAACAGTTTGCATGTCAAAGACAACACGTTCCATGATTAAGTGATCATCATTTGCTTATTTCAACTATATGATGAAAACCTATGCTTAAAGTACAAGACGAATGGATCGAGTTATTTCAATGTTTGCTCCTGCAAGAACATGTTTCATTTTATGACCAAATTTGTAAATACCTATATTCTTTTCCCGATGTTTGATTTCAGGTACGAGGTACTTCATATCACCTGAAAATATTAACATGATTTGACTATTGGGACAGCAACTACAGCGACGGCGGCCCGTCAAGGGCCCAATACTGAATACCCGAAAAATATGCAATGAAAGATGCTGATAAAGTTTTGTTTTGGAACGATGAAGAGGTGTTCATCTTAACGTAGATGTTCACAACAACAAACACTATATCAATGCAAAATGTGACATGAATATACATCTTACATCTTCATATATGCTCCCCTAGAATATCTTCAAACTCGTACAGTTTGTACAACTTAAAACATATGGATGTAGTAACAGTGCAAAATGGCACTGTCAGTTGTCAGTAATTAGTTACTCGCCATTCCTCCAAAATGGCTGATTCTATGTACAGTTCACCAATGAAACAGCCGTACACTTCTTTTTGATCATGTTTAAGAATAGTATCAGAGTCAGAGCAGAATGCATTTGTCAAATGTAGAAAATTTTGGCCATTTGGCTTGTTTCAAGATATCCACCTTGGAGACATCTTGAAGCATCGATGACCACTGATAGGAGTAAGCTGCAAAGTTTGTACAGAGAAAAACTTGTATGGATGCCTGAATGCATGTTCTTGAAGTGAATTCCCTGCTCACCACAGCATCAAACACGCTTTTCCCAAGAGCATTGAAATTATGTCCGAGTTATGTTTCTCCAGGCTTTCGAGTGTAGTCCTGTTGATCATTCTGAAAATTCGGTTAATAAGCTCCGTTCAAAGTTGACTTCTCCACAAGAGGGTATAACTGACCTTAACTGGCCCATTGCTATCAACATGGAATGGATACAATACCTTCTAATAGCAAGTAACTTCTGTACATCATGCATCAGGGCGTAGTTGTACAAAGCGATATTAGCGCTAAGGGGGTCGTAACTCCAATGCATTAACATAGACTTACGACAGTCTTAGGGCTAAGGTTGTTTTGTGCAACGGCACCCTGGATCCTGTTTATAGCTGATGTATTGAAAGTGTGTCATGTTGCACTGGGCACATGAGCCTATCTTGGTGGTCTCGTTCACCTTCTCATTACTATGTGAACATCTACAGCTTGTCAATCAAAAGGTAAACATATACCTCCTGTTCCATCCAATTGTGGAGCACAACTGACCCACTCATAAAGGCGCAGCAATTCATTGTGCAGAGTTGCGTCCCTATTGTCATGGGTCAATCCCTGATTATCCTCCTTGATTTACTGACCCGTGAAGATCCGGAGTATAGAATAGGTCTTCAGCAACCCATGCTTGCCATAAGAGGCGACTAACGGGATCGGATGATCAGGCTCGCTGACTTATTAATGCATGTCATCGATCCCAATTGCGCGGATCGATGCTCATGATATTAATCACTGGATTGTCTGGTCCAGACTCGATTATTTACAGACCGCCGTCATATAGCTGGAATATTGCTGAGTGCAGTGTTAAACAACAAGCAACCAACCTTGATTTACTAGCATCTTTCCAGGTACAGTGACATTCATCTCATTCGTGTGGACTCACACAACAAGCTGACATGATGTGGTATATATATTCTCAAAAAACTAGGGGATCGTAAAGTATTATGTCATGATCAGTCGTCAGCAGACAGATCAACTTTGAAAAATGACTGCTAGAATGGTGTCGGAACCAAAACCTAGCACCCTAACACACCCGAAACATGTGACATGAACCATGCAGCTCGCCGTGCACGTAGGTCGGGTTCATTCTTGGATGTTTGACACTTCAGTGAAATGTCGTCAAATCGCTCTGAATTATGGGTATTGTTGATTTTCATTACCCACAGTAACAAGTAATCACTTTACTCTTGCTTTTTAAAGCAATATTTGTGATCAGACTGGGAATGGGTCGTCTACAACGTGATGAACTCCTAAGGGCTATTGGCATGCTTCGAACTGGTAGGACTTGAGAGGTAGCCAATATGTTCAAAGTGTCTCTGTCTGTCATGTTTCTCTTCTCTGGAGACACCTTAAAGCATAGCCTTTCTTGTTGATTCCCACAATGTGGAATCAGCTGCAAGGTTGTATCAACTTCAGCCTCTATGACCATACAGTTTGACAAAACTGAGGTTAAACCTTGTTCTGTGTGTGGGTGCCTGAAGTGTAGTGCTGCTTGATCATTCTGAAAAGCCCCCGGATGTTGATAATCTCCCTTCGAAGTTTACTTCTCCACCAGAGGGTATAACTGACCTTGAGGAGATCTGAGCAGGTCTGGCAAAAGAGGTACCTTGCTATCAATATAGAATGAATTCAATACCTACCGATACCAGGAAACTTCTCCCTATCAGACTGTACCTAAATGCACCTGGATCTTTTTTACAGATGATGTGATGGGCGTGTTTCTCGTTGCATTGAGCCTACGTGTATATATGCCTATTAGTATTTTTAATTATATGCATTATCCACGTTAAACATGGAAAGCTCTCTACTCTTGCTTAAATGCAATATTTGTGAGCAGACTCGTAATGCCTAAGGGCTTTTGGCATGTTTCAAACTGGTAGACATCAGCAAGAGGTAGCCAGCGAGAGGTAGGTTTCTACAGACACACATTCTTAATCATCGGCCCGCGCAAGGCATTCCATCTCAAAATCACACGTCCAGGATCGATCAATCAGAAACCAGGCTTAATGAGATATAGCTCCAAACAAATCAGTGTTCAATTACGTCAGGCCACCGTTGTTCAAGTCAATGACCAATCGTATGCATGTGGCTATTCTGAATGATCGATGTGTTACCACCATTAACAAATCGACACATTCTAGCCAGACGACAATGGTGTTCAGGGCGTAGAAACCAGGGGAATCGCCTATGGTCTCATGCAATGTTTCCGAATGAATTCCGATTCACTCTGGACGTTCTGGATAGCCGTGGATGTGTCTGAAGGCGTCCTAACGAACGTCATGCGTACGTTAACGTAAGGTTATATGACCTATTTCGGGTGTAATGCATTACGGGGTCTGTAATGATTTGGGGCGCGATCACACAGACTGTCAAACTGCATATTGTCCTTGGAAGGGCCACTGAACAATACGAACTCGCGCCATACTGATCTACGTTGCCTAAATTGAATAAATGGGACGTCTAAATATGTTATGTAAATATAGACAAGAATGTTTCTGGTTGACTAGGGTATTATAACTTTTATTAATGTCATTACGTGAACGGTTTTCTAGAATGGAATGCAATTCTAGAGACATATGAAACATATTAAAAGATTGGTCACGAAATTGTTTCAAAACGAGGTTAACGTCAACAACTATTTGACTTAACCATATAAAGCAGTAAGAAAACCAAAGGTTTCTAAAATTTGAAGCCCACGTGTTACCTTGCCCATATTATCTAAATCTACCAGCGTATTATAAGGAATAATACTTTCTCTTTATGCCGTGCAATATTCCAGCAGCTCCAGCTTTTGGTGTCTATATTTCACAACTTTTGAAATATGACCCTTGCTCAAAAGTTGTTTAATCAGGGATACAACATTCATGGCCTCAGTAAAGCTTTCAAACAATTTTATGGTAGACATGTGGAGGACATTTAAACATTTGACGCATCAGTGAAAAAGATTATGCAATTCCCTTTTTTTTGCTTGTACCATATGTTGCCGTGGGTTTTTTTTAGGCGAACTATTGACGTACACTTACATATGTTTGTGACGGGTGCCCCTGGTGGGACAGAATATGCTCACCTTTTCCCGAACACCTGGTATCATAGCTATTTAAAAGTTATTCATGAACTTTTCTTGGAGTAAAGATGTATTATGATGGAAATGTTATTGACGCTTTTATTAAGATTGTGAACAGAAGATTTTGAACCGTTCCCTTTTAATTTTGTATCATGTTCCACACAATGGTGTTCGGGTACTTGTTTTGGAGACATATTTCTTCCAACATTGATGCCTATTTTGTTTGAAAGCACGTCGTAATGTTCAGTTCATCTAAATTATTATGAATTGTTAGCAGTTTGCGGAAAAATATATCTGCTTTCTCCCTGAAGTTTGATGCCTGTTTGCGTTCATTGTTAAAGCATGGTTTAGTAATAAGATCTGCAGAGATATTAGGAATATTTTGGTCAGCAATGTCATTAAGTTCATAAAAAAACAACTGAATCTGAATTTGAATAGTCTTTGAAACAGTCAAGACCGCCCCCGATGTATATTGGATAGAGCCTTTGACCGCCTATTCCATGACAGGCCCGACGAATAGTATTTGGAAGTCATTGGCCCTAAAATGCTTCAAGTTTTCAGTTACCTTATAAGATGTTCAGAAGTATATAATACCATGTCGATATTTTGGCCTGTTTGGGTTTCTAATCTTAAACTTACACGTGTCTTCGTCAAAAGAGCGTCGAATTCTGAATGCATAGTCTTCCCCTGCTGTGACATCAACATAATTCATGGTCGTCAGTATTCCAGGTAACTCACACATTTTCAACATGAAAGGTATAATGTGATTCTCTGTACTGTCCACAGAAATTCCAAAAGCGAGACTGAGTTCATATCTACACCATCCGCTCCTTACTGCCTCTGACGAAGACGACCTTCATGGAACACAGGATTCCACCCTGTATCAATTCGCCAAGATCATTTCCGGGGGTACACTAAAATATGCCATAGAGGAATTTTGGCACAGATGGCATACTCATCTGAGGCATCACAATTTATTAGCAGAGTTATGTCCCCTGGATGTGCCAAGGTCTGCTTACTTCGTATTCTAATCCCTTGGTTTGTCCGCACCATACCCATGAGCGTAGATTACACAGACCTGATAAACGTCGACATTATACATGCGTATCTTTCCTTGACATTCAGTTGCGATTCCGATTATAACTTAAATACTCTTTAAACAGGCGTTTAAGCCATCTTATCTATCCATAATTTAAAAACATTGAAGGTATAATTAAGCAAGCAAATACTACGTACGTGTGTCTTCGTCAAAGCATCGACGAATTTTGAAGGCATATTCCTCTCCGGCAGGCACATCAATATAATTCAGGGTCTTCAGAATGCCAGGAAAGTCGCACTGGCTAAACATTACAGGAATTATCTGATTTTCTTTACTCTCAACAGAAATGCCAAACGCAAAATTCCGTTCATATTCGCACCATCGGCTTTCCATGGAAGCAGGAGACAGAATGAAGACAACCTTCACAGAAGACAGGATTCCACTCTGTATCAAGGATCCAACATCATGGCCGGGGGTAAAGTCTCGTTTTGGCCAAAGGCATTTCAAGCCATAGTCTCGCTCCATGGTGTTGACCAGTTGCTCTGCCCATGCCAATTCATCCGGAGGATCATTACTATGAGAAATGAAAAGATGGTGTGTTTTTCCACTTGGAAGTGGGGGGATATCCAGATTCAGGGTGTTCTTTTTGAATGCTTCTTCCTCCCTAGCAGCTCTCTCAGCCTCCATGCGGCGTTGTGCCAGCTCAAAGTCATATTCCTCATCTTCTTCCAACTGGATAAGAGTGTGGAGATCAGTCGAGGTAGCCATTGTTTATTTCTCCGACATCTGCAAGAGTTAATAAATGTTTTTCAACAAACTTTTTTACACAAAGAGATAAATTACACCTGCATATAATAATACAACACAGCCTTAGGTCAGGTTACAGTAAACTACGTTTATAACGAACACGCTTATAACGAACTGACCGATATAACGAACTTATTTTTCAGTCCCGGCCATGAATTACATACTTACATTTAGTACTAACGACTAAATGACTTTATCGCGCGTATCCAAACCATGGGCTAATTTCGTCTGTAACCCAACCACCCCTCGTAACCCAATCACCCCGGGCCACCACTCGGCACCGTGCCCGGGGAATAATCCCGCGCAAGCATCATCCCGCCCTTTGTTAGTCCGGCATTCGCGAGCAACCCTCCCCCGAGTACACACGTGTGTCACTGTATCTAATCGCTTTAAATACCATCTATTTTCAGCACTCGCCGTATCGCATTTATTCCGTTCTACTCCCGAACTTCACCCTCGGGACAATTTACGCTTGTGGAATACCAACTCACCACCTCGACCTTTCGTGATGCCTCCCAAGAGAAGAGCAACCGTCAACCACAAGCTTGTGAGGGGAGCCAAGCAGCCCAGGACAACCAGAAGACAAACCCCTGGAGTACACATTGTACAGGAGGCAACAGCTGATGGTGAGTCTGCCAATTACGGCACTATCGAAGGTGGCAACAGAATTAACGTGCAATCGGCGCAGCTTGTAAATGCCGCGCAGGCTGCCAACTCGGCTACCCAGGTAAACGAGCAACTGGAAAAAATACTCCAGTTGCTGGAACATTCAGCGCCTGGCCCGGTTAGCGCAAACCAACAGGAAAGGCGTGGTTTTAGTTCTCCCGCCATTTCGCCCAACATAGGGAGAATCCCCGATGCTCTCAACGAGGCCGACGGTGACGCGGCTTGGCCAGCCAATCACACCGCAGGATACGGGGATTCCCTTTCTTTCCGTGCGGACGGAATAGACGCGCACGTCAAACAACAGGTGAGGGAAAAAATCTGGCGTGGCGAGTATGTCGACCTCGGCACAATACTACCAAACAACGAGGGAGGTCACGAGGACGGTACGATTACCATGGCGTACGACTCCTCAGGTAAGGTAATTTTTAAACCAATTAAGCAGCAACCAAAGCGTCTGTCCCTGGCAAGCTGGACTTCAGCTTTCCACATTTTCATGTTTATATATGTTAGTAGGCACTCCGAGGTCCGCACAACCCAGGGGTTGCTGTCCTACATGGAAACCATAAGGACGGCGGCACTTCGATTCGGGGGGGATGCCTGGTCAACCTACGACCAACAATTCCGACACAGAATGTCAAGGGACCCCTCACGACGCTGGGACAACAGCGACGGGGAGTTGTGGTTGAAGTCCATGGTAACACAGCCGGTACGACAACCAGAATCAGGCGGACGGGGCGCAATGACACGCGTACAGGGGGACATCGCCAGTCAGGTATGCTGGGATTTCAATAAATTTGGCTGTAGCAGGGTTAACTGTAAGTACACTCACAAATGCGGTAAGTGTGGCAAACATTCCCATAGCTCTAGGACCTGCTTTCGAGGGAATGGGGTCCAACCGACCCCATACAAGCCCAATCAGCCTTTTCCTAACAGAAAACAAGCCGGCAAGGCAGGTAAATTCAATGGCCCCTTCCCCCGTGGACCTCAATGAAATGGCACCTTGGTTACGCCAATATGCTAGGGTCAATTACAGAGATGCAAATTATTTATGGGTAGGTTTTAGCTTTGGCTTTAAGCTCGAGTTCCAGGGAAGCCGCACGGGTCGCCTGGCACGAAACTTGCGATCAGCCACGCACCAAGACACGGCAGGCTACGTGAAACAAAAACTACAAAAGGAAGTCGACCTTGGCAGGATGGCGGGCCCCTTCAAGGACACCCCCCTAGACAACCTCCAAGTATCCCCAATAGGCCTGGTGCCCAAGAAGCAGCCAGGATATGGTCAGCACCTGGGTAAGCATGCGGAGGAATTCCGTCTAATTCACCATCTATCCTATCCCAGGGGTAAATCTATAAATGACTTCATAGACACAGAGGCCTGCTCCGTTGTGTACGCCAGATTTGATGAAGCTACCCATATGGTTCAACAACTGGGAAAGGGAGCACTACTAGCAAAATTCGACATTCAGTCGGCCTTTAGAATTATACCAGTCCACCCATCCGATTTCGAGCTGCTAGGCATCAGATTCGAAGGTGAGTTCTATTTCGATAAATGCTTACCATTTGGTTGCTCCATATCTTGCGCCATATTTGAAACGTTTAGTACCTTCTCGCAATGGTGCATGCAACCGCATCTTCCAACGCGTCCGATCATGCATTACCTGGATGACTTCCTAACGGGGGGCACAGCAGGCACCAGCCACTGCTCAGACAACCTCAACGGATGCGTGAATACACTTGAACAGCTTGGGGTTCCTATTGCGCACGAGAAGACGGTGGGCCCCACAACCAAACTGACATTCCTAGGGCTGGAAATCGACACCATTGCAATGCAGATCAGAATCCCAGAGCCCAAGATCAAGGAGGCAACAAGAGAAATCCATGACATCCTGTCAACAGGTAACATCAAGGTCACAAAAAGGGCCCTTCAGTCCCTCATAGGCAAGCTTAACTTTATGTGCAGGGCTATACCAATGGCAAGGGCATTCAGCCGCAGGCTAATCGACCTGCTTAGCAAAGGTAAGCAACCATTTCACCACATTAGGATTACCAGCTGGGTCAAGGAAGACCTACAAATGTGGTTAACATTTCTTACGAGTTACAACGGCATTTCAGTGTTTCAGGACCAACTATGGGTGGACAGCGATTTCCTCCAGCTGTTTTCAGACGCAGCGGGCGGCGCCGGCTTTGGGGCCTACATGCAGGGCAAATGGTTTAACGGCGCATGGCCAACCCAGTGGGTGACGGATGGAACTACACGGGACTTGACGCTCCTGGAGCTGTTCCCCATCACACTGGCCATCCAAATCTGGGGCAAGCAACTCGCAAACAAAAAGGTCCTCTTTTACTGCGACAACCAAGCCGTCGTAACAATAATCAACAAGCAGTCAACCAAGGCCCCCAGAGTGATGAGCCTACTCCGTCGCCTAATCCTGCAGTGTCTCCGATTTAATATTATGTTTAAGGCGAAGTATGTATGTTCCACTGCTAACACTATTGCCGATGCTCTCTCGAGGTTTCAGCTCAAACGCTTCCGAGAGGCAGCACCAGCCGCGGACCAGAACATATGGCTGATCTGAGGCAGGAAGCCGGCAGACTCCTACAACAATCTCTGTCTACTAATACATGGGCCACTTACCAAACAGGCATCAATGCCTTGCACCAGTTCCGGTCCGCACACCAGCTACAAGAGGTGAGGCCAGTCCCGCTGGATCAGGTTGTAAACTTTATTGCTTATCTGTCAGTCACTCACCACTCCCCCAACACAGTCAAGACTTACATTGCAGCGCTGTCTTCACACCACAAATTCCACGGGCTCACCGACTGTACAAACCATTTCCTGGTAGGCAAGATTGTAACCGGCTTACACAAATCAGCGGGCCGACCAGACACCAGAAAACCGATCACTGCAGATCTGCTGCAGGTAGTAACCAACAATGTGCCTCACGTATGCTCATCAGCATACGAAGCCAGGCTGTTCAAGGCAGTCTACTGCACAGCCTTCTTCGGTTTCTTTAGGGTTAGCGAACTGGTCCAAACTGGACCCTCAAAAACAGGTTGCGCCATCCAGAATCTAAGCTTCTCGGGCAACCCCCAGCAGCTTGCAATCCATTTACCACACTCAAAGTCCGATCAGTACAGGATGGGGACAACAGTTACAATGTCATCTATACCAGGTAATCCGCTATGTCCGGTAGTCGCCATCAAGCACTACCTGGAGGCGCGCCCCTCCGGCCCACAACATGCATTCGTCCACTTTGACCATTCCCCCGTTACAAGGTACCAATTCCAGGCACTCCTAAAAAAGGCCTTAGCACACAGCAACATAAACACGGCCTGCTATTCTTCGCACTCCTTCCGCATTGGGGCAGCCACATCAGCAGCCATGAACGGGGTGCCCGAACACCTCATACAACAATACGGCAGGTGGAAATCAGATTGCTACAACGCTTACATACGCCTACCAACAAATTCAATGTTGCACAACTAATTCAAATAGTCTTTCATGGTACTTACTACACTTCTTATTGTTTACAGTTTGGATGGTGGGATCCAGCTACATGGCCAGGGCACGGCAGTACTTGCTCCTGAAGGGCACCAGTCCGAACCAACCGAGGATGCTATGGCTGGCACGAGGGGGGATGAGATGGAAGGAGCTGGACACCATTCTGGATGCACAGGTCAAGGCGACACGGCGCAGCCCCAGAGCCCTCATCATTCACCTGGGCTCCAACGACCTGTGCTCAGTCAAGGGCAGCCAACTCTACCTTGACATGGTGGCATCAACCCTTCGGATACAACTCCAGCTTCCTGACACCAGGATCATCGTATCCTCAATGCTGCCCAGGCGCTACTGGCACGATGCCAGGGACCCACTAAAGATCGAGGGGATGCGGAAGAATATCAACCGCCGACTGGCCAACCGAGTCAAAGAGCTCGGCGGTACAATGGTGCCACATCCCCAGATCCTGGCATCAGACAAGACATGGTACGCCTGGGAGGGCGTCCACCTCAGCGACAAAGGACTGTGTGTGTTTACGGACAATTTATTGCATGCCCTGGCGCTCGTTTTGCGCCAGTAAAGATATTATCTCCACAGGTTAGTGTTTCCTTCCAGTACACAGGCAAGCCGGGCAACAATGCTATCTCCGCGCATCGCGTGGCCGTGGGTGTGGGGTAGCACTCGGGTGCTTTGTGGCGGGGTTCTTGTGGGCTACACTGCTAGTAACAAATTTACTTGCTTCAAAATTAATACTCGTGCTTAAGGCTACCTGCTTTTCAGCGGGAACCTTTCCGGGGTTACCTGCTTCTCAGTGGGAACCTTGTCTTTCCCGACTTTTCAGCCGGGGAATCGTAAAATAACATACGTTGGGGCAAACAATTGCCACGTATATGGGCCCGGCGGCGGAAGTCGTCTTGTCAAGCGGTAGCTGACAGTTGGGTCCGCGGCGGGGGCCGCACAATGGTTTTGCTAATGGGGCCGGGCAGTGTGATCTGCTTTGGCCGGCTACCTGGGGCCGGGCAGCGGTAGTCTGACTTAGGCCAGCAGCGTGGACCTGCTTTTGGCAGCGTGGGAGTTGCCAAGCAATGGTAGCGTTTAAATATGCTACCGTGGGGGCCGGACAGCGGTAGCAGTCCCAGGCCAGCAGCGCTAGCTGCAATCGCCGTCGGCCACGCGCGTGGCCTTGGCAACGGTAGCATTTTGGTATACACAATTAGCAGCTAAGTAGCCCACTAGTACCTGCACACCCTCGGCCATTTAACCCAACCTCATCTTCTGTTTTTATTATAGGCACGGGCACCCACGGCTCGGTGCCCCGTGCCTCTCCTTGGCATATCGCGGGATAATTACATTTAGTACTAACGACTAAATGACTTTATCGCGCGTATCCAAACCATGGGCTAAATACGTCTGTAACCCAACCACCCCTCGTAACCCAATCACCCCGGGCCACCACTCGGCACCGTGCCCGGGGAATAATCCCGCGCAAGCATCATCCCGCCCTTTGTTAGTCCGGCATTCGCGAGCAACCCTTCCCCGAGTACACACGTGTGTCACTGTATCTAATCGCTTTCCCACCCACCCACCCACTCAGCTTGCCACTCCCTTTTCTTTCCTTTTCAGCCTGACGTGTCCTCTTCACCTGGAATGCTAATCACTTCTTTTTCAGCGTTTATTCTATTACAGGTACCAGCAGAGCGGACTGTATATATGTAAATAAACCTGTACATATGTAAAATAGGTTTTCAGAGCGCTTGTATATATGTACATACTTTTAAATGATTCTGATATATGTAAATAAACATGACTTCTTAATAGCTGTATATATGTATATATGAAATACCTGTCTCAACAATAAACTATGTCGAGGTGTAGGGGGTTCTTGTGGGCTACACTGCTAGTAACAAATTAACTTGCTTCAAAATTAATACTCGTGCTTAAGGCTACCTGCTTTTCAGCGGGAACCTTTCCGGGGTTACCTGCTTCTCAGTGGGAACCTTGTCTTTCCCGACTTTTCAGCCGGGGAATCGTAAAATAACATACGTTGGGGCAAACAATTGCCACGTATATGGGCCCGGCGGCGGAAGTCGTCTTGTCAAGCGGTAGCTGACAGTTGGGTCCGCGGCGGGGCCGCACAATGGTTTTGCTAATGGGGCCGGGCAGTGTGATCTGCTTTGGCCGGCTACCTGGGGCCGGGCAGCGGTAGTCTGACTTAGGCCAGCAGCGTGGACCTGCTTTTGGCAGCGTGGGAGTTGCCAAGCAATGGTAGCGTTTAAATATGCTACCGTGGGGGCCGGACAGCGGTAGCAGTCCCAGGCCAGCAGCGCTAGCTGCAATCGCCGTCGGCCACGCGCGTGGCCATGGCAACGGTAGCATTTTGGTATACACAATTAGCAGCTAAGTAGCCCACTAGTACCTGCACACCCTCGGCCATTTAACCCAACCTCATCTTCTGTTTTTATTATAGGCACGGGCACCCACGGCTCGGTGGCCCGTGCCTCTCCTTGGCATATCGCGGGATAAATGCTGTATAATGCTTTTAACGAACTACGGTTATCACGAACTAAAATTAGTGGTCTCTTTGAGTTCGTTAAAGCCGTAGTTTACTGTAATTCATTTCGAATATTATATTAGATCGGTTACGTCATACAAAGGAAACGTATAGTGAGCAGATGAAAACAGACACCCTCACATTTGTTTCATTGCGAATGTAACATGCCAACTTGACTAACGTGGTACAATTGGCAGAAACATCAGTACAGAAAGCCGTCTTCCTCTCGAACAGCTCTCTCAGACTCTGTGCGATGTTGTACCAGCTCAAAGTCTTATTGTCTTCTCACATTTTCATTGCTGAGAGATCGAAGAAGAGACATGAAGCGTTCATTGATTTAGTACGCCTAAGAAAGAACTAAATATTCGATTGGGATAAGTTTTGGAGAAACATAACACAATGTTTCAATAAATTATGTGTATCAACGGATAGACGCATGGGCTTAAATAGAACCATGAGGTAGAATGAAAAACTGAACATGAACATGGCGTTGTGAACATTTGTTATTAAGATACCATAATTATTGAAGCAGGTGACCGAATTTGCGGATAGGTAGAACTACAAAATGTACTTTACCTGAAAGTGTCAAAGTCAGGAATGATACCCGAAGCACGTGTGTAACGCTACTGCGTGCGGCACGTGCAAACTCTCGGGTGTTTTTTGTTTGTTTGTTTTTTTTGGTCCTCACAGATGTTTTTTTTTAATTTTTAAATCAAACATGTGACTCAAATGGGTATACCTGAAGAATATGATATCAGCAATTACATTGGTTATTGAGCGTGACGCCACAGTAAACAACTCCGTTGTTCAATGTGTGGTGCAATATCGGGGAATCCCCGCTATTCTTAACTAAACAAGTTTACTCAAGTGCTAATGGGTGTATACTTGTAGGTCGGGTTTTCTGTATGGGAGTTTCGTTATTAGCAGCTGGGGCACGGGTGGCGCCGCGATTCGCTGTGCAGAGCTGCGTGCCTTGGGCACACCAGAAACCTATGATTGTGGGTTCGAATGCCGGTTCGCCCCGATTAGATTTTTAGGTTTGTCAGCACCATTCCCGTGCTCGTGTGTTTCGCCGAATTGGTAAACGTCTGAGACCTGCATCACTTCGGGCTTTCCTCCCACATTAAGCTGTAACGCCGTGATATAACTGGAATAACGTTAAAAGCTCACTCGCTATTTTTTATGGGTTCTTTCAATGAAATAATGAGTAGTTAGTATGGCAGGGCTTTCAAGGTTTGCGGCATTATGCACAGTGACAGGTACCTGGACCATTGTGAACAGCTTTCAAAAGGTTTTCGTTTATCAGGTTTGGTTTGGTTTGGTTTGGTTTGTTTGTTATTTAACGCCGCACTCAGCAATATTATAGCTATATGACGGCAGACAATCCAGTGATTAATAACATGAGCATCGATCTACGCAATTTTGTTCGTTTATCGGAAAATCTGTGAAAAAGTACAAAAAGTACAAAAAGTGCAAAGGATATTACTTTGAAACGTCAAAAGAGAAAGCTTGGATTTTATCCCCCCCCCCCCCCCAAAAAAATAAATAAATAAAAATAAAAACAAACAAAAAACAACAACAAAAACAAAAAACAAAATATCAGGGAGTATGAATAATATTTTTTGTGAAGGATTGTTTGGCATTCAATGAATTAATTCAGGATTTTATGTCAGAACCATTTTTTAAAATATTATTCACTTCCTCATAGGTAAATCTTCATATTTTTTTTTAAACAAATGGGCAGAGAGGGGTTTGTTTTTCCACCCATCCACCCCGAACCCCACCCTCCTCTCCCCCACCCATACGCCATATAGTTAGTATGACTGGCAAAAACTGCTTAGAAACAGGAAACTCTTGTGCAGTAGAAATGTTTTCATGATAAAAAAAAGTCCCCAAAATGTTTTACCAGTTGTTTATCGTGCTATTAGAACATAATGTAAAACGCTACCGCCATTACGATCGTGTTATTTGTCGCTTTGTAAGTGAATATATGAATATATGCTCGTTTGTCACCGTCGGTGGTGATTTTAGAAAAAAAGAATTGAATAGCCATAGTATTTCCCTCTGTAGTGTATATAGAGCTGGACAAGTAGGGTAACTACCCTGGTGGGCCGTTGTTGGAGTGAGGAAGTCAACAGATTGCTGTACAAAGTAACGGTTTGGGCTGTGGTTTGCGGATAACCACAACGAAACTGATTTGTTGGGGTTAATGGACAATGTATTTTCTTGTTTTTTTGTATTGGGAACTTAACGGTAAGAGTTCATCACAGCTATGTTCAACATATCAGTTAGTTTGGTTGTTGAAGCACATTAATGTGACTTGCACGGGTCAATCTTGGATGTTTGTATTTTTGTTCACTTCACTGTTGAGTTGCTAGATTAAATCACTAAAATTAACTGAAACTTTGTATCCATGTCCTGTTGAAATGCACAAGACAATGTATTTAACTTACCCGAGTCTTCCGCTTGTCTACTCGTTGTCATTGACACCCGAAAAACAATCGGGATAGACACAAACACTGGGGGAAGGAAGGTCAAGGACGCAATGACGTAAGAGTCTCATGTACATTTGGATTTCCCGAAGCAATACACGACAGTGTGGAGCTCAGTGATTTCTTTTGGTAAGTCGAGCATTCTCTGTTATAGCTTATAACCTCTTTTTAACCAATCAGAATCAAGCATTCATCAATGTCATGGTAGAATCTATATTATTACTAGTCCGTGAAGAGATCACCCGTTTAATAAACATACAGCTGTATTACACATTGTGTAATACCAAAACGCGTGCTTATGTACTCCCGCCGAGAACACGTTTCACGAACAAATATTGACAGCTCTTTACATCCCTTAGCTTATTCAACGACATTGCAAGTGGAGATGATAGATCACTGAGAGGAGCTTATGCACACTCGATGGCCCCAGCAACGTTGTTGCTAGGCTGACGAAACATGGCATTGTTTCGCCGATGGATCGCAAAAAAATTCAACAAAATACGTCATTGTAAACTTTTAGGTGCAAGGCCCCGTTCCGCAAGGCGATCATATTGTAGCACAACGACAGCCGTTAGTCTAAGTTAAAGTATGTGAGTTGCGATAACCTTAGCGCTACGATAATTTTGAGGAACGGACGCCTTAGTTCTAAAGGTGGGCCGTTGTATGATATTAAATTCATACGTTTCAACTTTTGACGTATTTGAAGCATTATTCTGTTAAACTCAATTGGACTATGCCGTGGATCGTGTAGGTGTCAGCCTATTCATACTCAACAGTATAATTCTAAAAACGTAATACATGACAAGTAATAAATAAAACACTAAACCCGCTCCCGTGTCAAACCAATTTTATCAAACTCGTGAATAGTTGTGGTATCTATACCAGAACTATTCACTCGTTTCATAAAATTGTTATTACACGGGAGCTCGTTTAGCATTCTATATGTATCTGTAAAGTGGCAGTGTAACATTTACGATTAAAATGCCAAAATGCATTCTAGAGTTCAATTTGGGTTTCATTAATCGGATAAACATTTGTTCTTTTTCCAGTCTCTGATGTTTATTGCTGGTATATAATTTATAAAACGGAAAAAAATATTAAGTTTCCCGTTTCCGCAATCATTAATGTGTTTGCTGACTCTAGGAACATTAGGGTCTCTATTTTGCTGTTTTTTGTACAGTGACTCCATTTTTCTACACCAAAGTGAGACAATGAAACAAGGTCTGAATACATTTAATTATAAAATTATAAAAAGTACCAGGCAACCCAAAAATCTCAAGCAAATTCTTTGTCCATCAAAGTATTTTTGTACAGGGTGTATCATGTGTTAAAAGATGTAACAGACCAAGATGCAGCACATGTAACATCATTTGTGAAGGTACATAAACAGCAAAACAGAGACCCTAATGAGACAGTGAAAGTACTATGTCTGAAACTGATATAAAGAAGATGTTGGACTAACGTGGACTTTATTATTTTTTACATATATATATATATATATACATATTCCCATATGAAACCTTTTATTTTATTGTTATTTCAGACCGACAAGGACATACATGAAGCAAACAACATACTTGTAACTCGTATGTCTTGTTCCTGGCCAGATCAAGGACAATGCTTACATTGGGATCTTGCGCTATCCTTTTAGGTCTCCTGGCCGGAATTGCAAACACCTTTATGTGTCGTCCTAACACAGTGTCAGCAGGAATCAACTGGAGGTGTATAAGTGTGAAGGAGTGTATAAGTAGAGGATTTCTGGTTTACGGTAGAAGGTGTGTGCATTCCTGTCCTCATGGAACATTCTTTCTGCGGGAGACACGTACATGTGTTAACCAGTGTCCGAGACATACCATTTTAAATGGAACCGAATGTTTGAATGGAACATACTGTATGTCCAAAAACAACCAGGTACTCTTCAATGGAACCTGTCAGGCAAAATGCCCTTCCTTCATGGCTTTTAAGAAGTACGGGACTTGTTACAGAATGTGTCCAAATAATACAGTCGTCAATGGATCGGAATGTTTGCTTCGGGAAGATTGTAAAAAGAACAATGGTTTCGTCAATGGCAGTGCATGCGTGGTTCAATGTCCTCCAGAAAACAAATACATTCTGAAAGGTGTTTGTCATCGTTGGTGTCCTTCCAGTATCGCTGTAAAAGGCAATGGGACAAACTGTTTATATAAGGAAACTTGCACTGTTAAACTAGGATGGGTAATTTTTAATAGCTCCTGTGTCGCGACCTGCCCACGTGAAGCTCCATACAAAGATACCAGCACCTGCTATAAAACGTGTCCGATAGGAAAGGTTGCTCTTGGAAAAAACTGCATTTTTGTTGAAGAATGTAAGCAAAAGATCATGCTTGTGTATCAGAAAGCTTGCACAGCAAACTGCCCGGATGTTGCACCGTTACGTGTTGACAGCCACTGTTATGGGCAATGCCCAGAAAGGACAGTCTTGTATAATGGTTCATGCATCTACGAACAGGAGTGTGTATCACCATTCGGTCATTTTATGGTAATATTCAATGGGACATGTGTTGATATATGTCCACAAGAAGCACCATTTGTCAATCATGGAGGCTGCACCAACACGTGCCCAAACACAACAGTTGTCAGTGATATGCAATGTGTTGACATATATGACTGTTTGGATAGCAATAGATATATTTCAAATGGAACATGTGTTTCAACGTGTCCACAAGCCTCGCCATATGTATTACGTAGCTTGTGTTACCATACATGTCCAGAGGGCAGTGTAATTAGTGAACCCGGCCAGAAACTGTGCGTTGAAGAACTGCAGTGTAACAAATTGAACAAGAAGGTGTACAACAACACATGCGTAGCAACATGTCCATTACAAAGTCCGTACATCTATGCTGGTCACTGCTACTCAGTTTGCCCAAACAAAACTGTAAGCTTGACAAGTAGGTTTTGCATATTAGCCTTGTCTTGCAAATATCAAAACAAATTTGTTCAGGAAACCGAGTGCGTTGACTCATGTTCATCAACCTTTCCATATACTCTGGACAACACCTGTTATTCAGAATGCCCCTCTAACAGCTCTTTGTTTCCCGGTAACCGATGTGTGACCATTATGAATTGTTATTCTGAATCAAATGCCGTCATTTACAATGGTACATGTTTACCATCGTGCCCACAGAATGTTCCATACAAACAGGATGGTAAATGCTTGTCAAAGTGTCCATTGGAAATGTTGATAAACGATCATGATTGTGTTTATCCAAGATCATGTCCTCCCAGAGTGATTTACAATGGTACATGTTTACCATCGTGCCCACAGAATGTTCCATACAAACAGGATGGTAAATGCTTGTCAAAGTGTCCATTGGAAATGTTGATAAACGATCATGATTGTGTTTATCCAAGATCATGTCCTCCCAGAGTGATTTACAATGGTACATGTTTACCATCGTGCCCACAGAATGTTCCATACAAACAGGATGGTAAATGCTTGTCAAAGTGTCCATTGGAAATGTTGATAAACGATCATGATTGTGTTGATCCAAGGTCATGTCCTCCCAGAGTGATTTACAATGGTACATGTTTACCATCGTGCCCACAGAATGTTCCATACAAACAGGATGGTAAATGCTTGTCAAAGTGTCCATTGGGAATGTTGATAAACGATCTTGATTGCGTTTATCCAAGATCATGTCCTCCCAGAGTGATTTACAATGGTACATGTTTACCATCGTGCCCAAAGAATGTTCCATACAAACATGATGGTAAATGCTTGTCAAAGTGTCCAATAGGGATGCTTATTAAAGGATTTGGCTGTGTGATCACATTTTCCTGCTTCCTGTACAATGGAATATGTATGCCAGCCTGTCCAACGAAGGCACCATACACTGCTAAAGGGACCCTATACAATACATGTCATTCGGAGTGCCCACAAAGCACGTTCTTAAAGGGTTCTTACTGTGTCACTGAATATATGTGTACACTTAGCAATAATTTCTTTATTTACAATGGTAGCTGTGTCACAGAATGCCCACCAGGAACTTTGACTTTCGTTAGAGGAGTATGCTACGATGCAAGAGTAGATCAATACGCCGTCACAGTGATACCAGCCTTGATCTTGGTGATGTTCGTGTTACTATACTGTTTGGTCCATAATCCTAACAACTTGAAAGGAAAGGATATTACACAGGTGCGACCCGTCAATCTGAAGGTAAGTTGAATCGGATTCCCGATAATGATAACACACTGTGACATTGTCAATGGATAAAATGGCTGTCACATTATCCATTGACAACATCACGATACTACGCTAACACTACATTTGAAAGCATAATGAATGTGGGGAAATGGGAAGGCCTTTTGGTTTGTTTTGTATCCTTTATATTGACTTTTTCTGTCAGTGTAGAACAGTTACTTATGAAAGAGTTTTTTTGTCATGCAAACGGGTTTATAAACAGGAAAAAGGAAAGTCAGGTCGTCGCGTCAATTAGGCCAAACCAAAAGATCAGAATCATAATACCTTTTTTGCCTAATGATAAAGTGGTTTGTAGTCACATGTTTAATTCTTCCCGTTTAAGGTTCAAATGTTCTGCTGCAGTTACTGGAGGCCGACGATGACCTCAATTGTGTAGTTCTTCAAACTATGCTAACCCAAGAGCAAGGAACCTCAAGTGGACCCGGTCAAGAAAAAGAATGTCCAGAGGTGATGATTGCAATGGAAGAACTATCCAATGCCAACCATCCCATGGCGGAAGGTGGTGTCGTCGGTGCCATTGTCCAGCACCACAACGACGAAGATGATGTGCCATTGCTTCGAGATGACAACCCTTTGATTCAACACGAGGACATATATCAGAATCACTCAACAGACGATGCTCTCTTATTCGGTGATGGAAACAATGTTTAGGTTAACTTATAACTTGCTTATAGAGATATGTTTTACTGTTGCCATGTTTGGATAAGAACTGACAGAGTTAATTTTATACGGATAGACATATGTCAAAGTGTGCATATATCCTCGCGTTCTGTAAAGATAATTAGTTATTAATCCTAAGATGCTATTGTAATTATGTGAGTGAGTGAGTTGGGTTTAACGCCTCTTTTAACAGTATTCCAATTACATCGCGGCAAGTCAGCTTAATGTGGGAGGAAAGCACGAAGTGATGCCGGACGTTTACGACTTTGGCGAAACCCACGAGCACGGGTATGATGCTAACAAACTTAGAAACATAATCGGGGCGAACCGGGATTCGAACTCGTGATCATAGGTTTCTGGCATGCCCAAAGGATTGCAACTATGTAAAAAGATTATGAATGTCACTTTGTAATTTCTGTTCATGATACGCTTGTTCTGGGCAGATAAATATTTACCATAATACTATTAGACATTTTATTGTCATCTTGTACCTTATGAATGTCTGACTGCAATTGACCGAAACCAGCTTGTGGCTCGTTGTTAATGAAGCATTTCTGTCTCTCTAAACTGTAAAACTTGCAGTTATCTCCCTTTGACTGCAATGCCCACAAAACGCCATTACACTCTCGAGGTTGCATTGCATACACACAATGCTTCCAAGTGTTCGCGAAAAGATGAACGTATCCTGTCCCATTGGTGGCACACGCGCAAACACATGCAAAGGCAAGTCAATTGTTCAGTCAAAATAGCGATTTGTATCAAACTTATTTTTTGCCACTTATGACATATTTGGAAATGCCCTCCACATGTCTACAATAAAACTTTTTGAAAGCTTCACTAAAGCCTTGAATGTTTTAAACCTGATCAAACAACATTTGAGTTGTATGACGCTCTTTAAAATCATCGTAGTAAGAGCATGCTCGCTTGTACAGCAATAGGCTGGAGCTGATGGAAAGTTGACTATTGGAAACTTGGAGTCGTCCCTCTTGTCATACAGTCATTCGGATAGTATTTGTTGTCACTCTGAATCTATATGGGTGGATCTAATTATGAAACCTACGAGACACTGTTTTGCTGGTATACGTATTTTATTCTTCCCGTATTATCTAAGTACAACACCGCCACATTTATATTCAAATTTTTTTTGTATTGTTCTAGAATTTGTATTGGGATATGTAAATATGTTGTTATGATTGTGCGTTTGACAATAAAATAAACATTACACTTCTTGCACTCCTGTCATGAGAAAAATAAGAAAGGTCGAATGATTTACATTATGGGGACTACAAAACAAGCTAACCGTAAAGTTACGGGTTAGAAAAGGTCTTCATCAACCCATGCTTGTCGGAAGATGCGACTGACGGGATCGGGTGGTCAGGCTCGCTGACTTGGTTGATGCATGTCATCGTGTCCCAATTGCGTGGATCGATGCCCATGATGTCATTCACTGGATTGTCTGGTCCAGACTCGATTATTAACATACCGCCGCCATATAGCTGGAATATTGCTGAGTGCGACGTTAAAACAACAAACAAACAAAACAAGCTTGCTCATTTCCTAACTATTGCCTCGAGGGGAGGATCGTGTGGACAAAAAAAAAGTATGAAGAGGAGGTTGTAGGTGACAATTGTTTAGAGATTTATCCACAAATCATCCGCAAACACAATTCAAATTCTAGGATGTGTGTGTGTGTGTGTGTGTGTGTGTGTGTGTGTGTGTGTGTGTGTGTGTGTGTGTGTGTGTATTTTGTGTGTACGAGTTGACACACAACTGCAAACAAGCCGCACGTGAGATTTTGATTTTGGTGGTCGTATTAATTTGGTTAAAAAAGTATCACCATAAAAAACATATTGCAGTGTTTACCTAAAAATCAAATATTTAAAACTAACAAATGTGCAATATGTTACACAGGTCGGTGCGGTGAAGAGAAGTCTACCTGTTGTCTATTTATTGTTCGAGTCCTTGTAGTTAATGCACATGTCTTGTGTAAACCGCATAGTATCTAATTTGCGTAAGTGTAACTTCTATATATTGTCATATATGAAAAGGGACGCGGCTCGTGTTACTGTGGTAGACCCTTGGGACATTGTATACTGGCCGACTCGGTTTACTGTAGCAGAGAGACCCTATTGATATGCTCCAACAACCCCTTGGGAATTATCTTGTGACTGAGTGAGTATGGTTTTACGCCGCTCTTAGCAATATTCCAGCAATACTAGTCACGGCGAGGAACACCCGACATGGCTTCATACATTGTTCTCATGTGGGGAATCGAACCCGGGCCTTCGCGTGACGAACAAACGCTTTAACCACTAGGTTACCCCACCGCCCCTTTGTGGACGGGAAGTCATATATAAAGATGGTCGCTACACTAGATCATTTTGTTGGGGTTTGTAAATATAAAACGTCAACGCCACTGAATAACCAGTCTTGATTGTCCGCCAAAACAGATTCCTTTGGGGGTAAAAGTCAAAATAGCGGTGAAAATTGTATGAATGGATCACTGAAAATCAGTGATGACACTAGGTTTTCTCGAAAAGGGTAGGCAGGTCATGCCCTACCAGTAGCATCCGCCACTCAGCACCCTTTGAATAAACGTGTATGTGTTTGTTCAGAAACAAAGCTTTAACAGTCCAAACAGCACATCAATTCGTTGTTCACATGATCCAGGCCACCGGAGTACAAGTTACAGACGACGATTAGAAATCGTCTGCATGCTAGGCGACCACGTGTTATACCATCGCTAATAAATCGACACATTCCAGCCAGGCGCCGATGGTGTTCAGAACGTAGAAACTTTGTCGATAGTCTCGTGTAATGTTTACAGATGAGTCCAGATTCACTCTGGACACTCTGGACAGTGCTGGACGTGTCTGGGGGCGTCCTCACGAACTACCGAGACATCTCACTGGACTGGAGCCAATAGTTGTGTCATGTGCGCGGCATGCAGGGCCAACTTGCACAAATCAATCTTAGTGCTAAAACTATCGTAAACCTATGTTAAAGTATGGGAGTTACGATCATCTTGTGCAAGTGGTCCCTGGTCCATGTTTTGTCATCCCAGGCGATAAATGTCGTGCCCAACGTGCGCGTGTCGTAATTAATTACCACCAGAAGCAAAACATCACCAGAATGCAACAGCCAGCTATGAGTTCTGACCTTTCCCCCACAGAGCCCGCCTGGGACAAAATCGGGAGACGTGTACGCAGACGTCAAAGGCCAACGCCGACGTCAAAGGCCAATGCCGACGTCAAAGGTCATCCCCTACGTTAACCGAATTGGGCCTCGTGCTCCAAGAGGAATGGACAAGACACCCTCAAATTGTCTTTGGGAGATTGATTCGGACGTCGCCATGCTCTTTAAACGATTAGATGACCAATCGTGTAGGCACGACCTATCCCTGATCAGATCATCTCAAACGTATATTTTTTGGCTACACACGCCTGCTGTTTGCACCCTTACAATATACCGCCAACATATTCGGTTGATTGCGTTACACCTCGTCCTTCCTCTTCCTTATGCATCCATCCACATCACTCGATACCGCTTTGTATTTCTGTAATCATGTTTTATTTTCGAATACCCCATACTTTTTGGGAGGCTATATAATAACGGGTTGCGATCGAACTCTGCATACACCATAGAATTATAAGTAGATTTTATTTACTCTTAATAACCGTTTTACCGTTTAAATGCAATCTTTCAACATTATCTCCTCTACGGGAACCCCAAACCTCAGAAGCATGACAATGAATATTGCCAACGTAACAGTCAAATACAGAAAGCAAAGACTCGGTGTTGAGACAGACATGTTACAATGTGACAGAGACAAGTGCTTATAAACCAAGATCCGACAACCTTATTTCAGCTCTAGTAAGCTAATATATAGAGAATCTCACCCGAGTGTCTTTTGATATCAAATATATCAACACGAGTTGATAAAAGTGGAAAAATTCCGAGGTTTGCCGTGGATTTTTGCCACTTTTATCAATTTTGATGCCCTCGTAAAATTGTTTCGAAATTTATATCGCCAAAGTTGCCAAAACTTATAAAATGCCTTAGCTACCTCACATTTAGACAATGATTTTCAGTATATTAGACTGTTCTTTTGATGATGATAGCAATTATCCGTGTAGTTTATCCAGATTCCCGATGGTTAATTCTGACTCGATCGCCGAATGACGAGGGCGACGCCATGTTTGTTTATTAACAGTGAAAGTCGTCCCTACTTGACATTTTATATCTATCTGATATTGCATCTCTATCCGCATATGACCCCAACGGATGTCGTTTTTATCCGTTGGCTTTATCCTGCCGAGAAACCTACCCATTATATGATAAATAATATTATATAATTCCCAAATATGTATCACCATGATAATGACACTGCTTCCAATGCCACTGATTCAAGGAGTTTGTCTCATTTCACCTACACGCCAATTCACCTACGCTTCAGTATGCTTACGGGTACTGCAACCACCCCTCGACCCAGAATGCATCGCGACCTGAGCCATGTGAGACTGAGGGAGCGAGCACATGCCGCTGAAAGGAAGACACCGCTTCAATTCCTTGATGCTTTATATGTTTGTTTGTTTATTTATTTGTGTGTTTGTTGTTTAACGCCGTACTCACCAATATTCCAGCTATATGACGGCGGTCTGTAACTAATCGAGTCTGGACCAGACAATCCAGTGATTGATGTCATGACCATCGATCCACGCAGTTGGGATACGATGACATGCATCAACCAAATCAGCGAGCCTGACCACCTGATCCTGTTAATCGCCTCTTACAAGCATAGTCGCCTTTTACAGCAAGCATGGGTTGCTGAAGACCTATTCTACCCCGGATCTTCACGGTTCTCCTGTCGATCATCTATTGAAGTAGAGATAATATAGATCTATTGTATGGTCTCTTATTGAAAGTTTAAATGACTTTGAGTATGACTAGTGACTATGGTGACGATGAAGGTAACTTGTTCAGCCCATCGCAAAAATAGATAAACTTTGATATTTCTTGTTATCTGTTAGACCATACCATCGTTGTATATATATTTATGCATCATAAATTATAAAATCTCTTGCAATAACACCCACAGTTCGTCTTCTTGTTGAATACAAAATGGCCCTGTCCATTCTTCACAAGGGGTAGACGTCTGACTATAAGAGCATATCTTCACGACCACTAGACCATAACTTGTTGTTATAAGACTGTAGGCAAAGTGGAGTGTAGGCGATAGGATAACATGTAACAAATGCTATATGTGGGATAACACTTCCTAAGTAAAGTACAGATTCTAGTACTTTTGGGGGGTTGAGTCCCATCCGGGATTCAAACCCACATTCCCAGAGTGAGGCACCTAAACGCCAGCACACGAAGTCAGCAACCTCACCCATACATGCAGCCACCGAGGCTTCAACAAAAAAGGAAAGTCCGACAACTGATAGTCTAGATCACATACTTTGTGTACCCCTCTGACAAGTGTATATTGGCACGGCTCCCACGGCCGAAAGCTAAGAACACACAATGCCATTTAGAAAATGGTCTAATGTAACAATTGTTACCCTGTCTGGCGCTCGGCATTAAGGGGCTAAAACAAGGACTGGTCGGCTCGGAGTCAGTATACTGTGTCTGAGTGGGGTATTCATGTTAAACTGCGGCATGGTATCTCAGTGAGCTAGCACTATAAATCGGCATCAGTCCGGACTAGTACAAGCAGCCACACACACGCGTGCATGCACGTCGCTATATAAGTGCAATAATCTTGGACGCGACGTTAAACCCAATTTCCCCTCACCTCACCTCACCTCTAATGTAACAAATGTTATAGTAGTATTTGGGATAACACTTTCTTAGTAAAGTACAGATTCTTCCAGTACTTTTTTTTAAAAAGTATTAGAATCTGTATTTTACTATCAAAACAGTACTAGAATCTGTTCTTTACTAAGAAAGTGTAATTCCAAATATAACATTTGTTACATTTGACCACTTTCTAAATGGCATTGGGTATTCATGATATGATATTAATTCAGCTGTAAGCGCTCCATCCGTCTCCAACACAGCTCCTGCATCTCCGAGTGTACTGGACATGCCCAACACATTCAACCGGTGTTCCTGAACTGAACTGAACTTTATTACGATCAGGCAACAGTCTGTATCACAATCATGTACAATGGGCCTATTAGATACTTTTTTGTACAATTTACACACAT